TAAATTGCCAGCTTTTAAATATTCAGACACTTCTCTGATCCTTTGACATACATTGATATAAAGTATCCACAACGACAACTTGCATTTATATAGCGCTTCTCACGCAGGATAGCGTTCCAGAGCGCTTGACAGTGGTGAAGCACAACGCAAAGCCGGGAGGAGGGGTGACGGTAGGCACGGTCGAATAGGAAGGTCTTCAGGTGCGACCTGAACAACAACAACAAAATTACATTTATAGAGCGCCTTTCATATCGGGAAGACATCCCAAGGTGCTGGACAGTCAGTGGTCAGGACCCGAGCATGGGGCAGGAGTGGGGTAGGGATGAGGGAAGGCAGAGAGGTGGGAGGGAGACCAAAGGCACAATCGAAGAGGAGGGTCTTGAGACCGGCCTTGAAGAAGGCAAGGGAGGAAGTGAGGCGAAGGGACTGTGGGATGGAGCTCCAGAGTGTGGGGGCAGAGAGGCTGAAAGCCGGACCACCGATGGTAGGCCGGGTCGGGCGGGAGACGTGGAGCAGGCCGGAGCCCGCTGAATGGAGGGAGCGGACAGGTTGGTAGGGAGTCAGCAGGTCAGAGAGGTCGGAGGGGGCAAGGCCATGGATAGCCTTGAAAGTGAAGACGAGGATCTTGAATTCGATCCTCTGAGGGATCAGGAGCCAGTGGAGTCGGGTGAGGGTGGGAGTGATGGGGTCACAGAGCCTTGTGCGTGAGAGTACATGAGCTGCAGAGTTTTGGTAAGGAGGTGGGAGAGGTAGGGAGGTGTCAGGGCATGAAGGGAATTGAAAACGAGTATGAGGATCTTGAAATGGATCTGTTCGGTGACAGGGAGTCAGTGGAGCCTGGCTAGTACTGGTGTAATGGAGATCCACAACTATTATAATGTGATTAAAGACTTACCTGCAGTTAAACACTAGGTTACTCACCACCTTGTATATACTATGAATAGGTTTGTCCTTGGATCACATGCTATGCTGAGCTCCAATTGTAATTTACTTTGCTCGTGAATGGTTGAGTAAGTTAAAGGACTGTTTGTACGTGAGAATATGGGTAGTGGGAGGGAGGTGGAAAACTACCCAGAACAGCTGCAGAACTTTAATTAAACTAATTAGAACTAAATTTGGATTATATGGAGAGTACATTGGCAGAAGTGGCAACCAGTCAAATAAAATTAGCCAATGCTTCTTGCCAATGCAGAACTGGGGAGATTTGCATTGCTGGAAATACATTGCACTATCACATTGTGCCATAATCAACGTGCTATCATTTATAACTGTTATTTGTCAGTACAAAATACACTAATAAATAAATCAGTCATAAATGAAATAAACAGACTATACTTTCTCTAGCAGTAGTTTGGTAGCAACAGAAGGTGAGCAACATCGAGGTTTCAAAAACACACACAGGAGCTTCAAATTGAGATGAAATGCAATATTTCAAATCATACATTTCTTTTCCCATATATTAAAAAAGAGTCATTTACTGCATTGTAACAGTGTACTGTAGGAAAATAAAATCTATATGAAGTACGTTTTTTTTTAAAACTTGTAAATGAATTCCAAGGTCATCTAATAGCAAAACATACTTTTATGCCATAATAAAACCCCTGAGGAACAAGTTTATGCTTCCCATCTATTTGGATTGATACAATTTAGACCAAAGTTGCTTCTGTTGCATGTAATATCATACTGTAATTAATAAGAAGCATGTATACATCAGAATAACTACAGACTATCCAGTTATCTGTCCTCCGACGTAGAGGATGCTTTACAAATGTAATTTTGTATTGTATTATAATCCAGCTCTCGGTTTGTTAGTGGCTACTCACCGACACTGACCTAAATAGTTTAGAGAAACATAGAAACATGGTTTGCTGTTTAGGTAGTTGTGAGACACAACATACATTGACCAGCTCTGTTGCAAAGAGCTTGGTGAAGGAGAAAAATAATATAGTACTCTAGCACTATTCTCAGTGTTCTGTGGTTACAGAGACACAATTGTAAAGTACATTTGTGGATGCACATTAGAGAGAGAATCATCATTGCACACTCATCACAAAGTTAAGAAACAGTGAGTTAGTTTACTTTTTCGATACTCTTGATGAAAGTATGTATTTTCTTTGGGAGACTGAAATTGAAGATAAGGAGGCACCAAGGTGTGGCTAGAGTGTGCATTTTCAATGTATCTGGGTGTATTATGTATCTGAGATGCCATCCAGCATGATGGACAACATATAAAGCAAATGTTGTTGTTGTTTGGATGTGTAAAACACAGGTGTGAGGAGCAATGCAATTCTCACTTGTGCAGCATAAATGTGAGAGCAAGTCACATTGATTTCTCTCCTAGATCCATTGACTGGTTGGACAGTCTGCAAACAGAGCTTTGTTAACATTGTTAAAGAACCACTGTGGGACCGACCAGCTCTTTCTAAATTGTAAATTAATGCCTGATTTTGGTGTTCTCATGTGCCAAGGCATACAAATGCCTCAATGTCAGGTATTATTTTTTTTCTAACTCTGCAGGCAGTATAAACGTAAAGTCCTGCTCACCATTGCTATACTGCTCATCCATCTTCCCCTTCTCCCCTCTCCCCCAAATGAGTTCCCAAATAATCATTAATGCTGCTGTCTGATTTACTAAAAAAAAGACTGTTACTTTATGACAGCAAAATCAGCCCTTAAAACCATACAGCTATAAATACTAAAAATATTCCCAGTCTTATTAGATCTTGTAAGATGTCAGAATGCTTATATTTCTCTGGTAGGCATTTCAAAAAGGCTTAATACTTGTATTCATGCCCAGTGATATTGGTACGCTAAAAACATCAACATGACAGAGCATGGAGCACCTATAACCCATATGCATATGCACATGAAGACTGTGACGGCAACTCTCAGTTATGATTCTGTCACACTACATTGGTTATAGATGTCACATTGCCCTTCCGTCAAAGGAAAATAAATAAAACACAAACAATGGCTTTTGCACTTTGCACTTTATAAATAAAATCAATATATGAATGATGGCGCTTTTTAAAAAAAATGTAATGATGACCACAATCTCTTAATCGTATCAAGAGTAAATATTTCAACTCTAAAGCCTGATGTCCATGTTCCTACGTTGTAAGGTATATAGATATATTAAATGACAATTAAACAAAATGGTTGTCAGTGCAAAACTGGTGAGATTATGATCAAGTTGAAGTTTTTCAATTTCTACAGTATGTGGCACTTTTATTCTGGCGGGCAATTGAACTCATAAATGTTCAATGAAATACATTTTCTTTTGCAGAAATGTTATGCTTTATTTAGGTTCAATATTCTCAGTTTCTTTTGTCTACATGAATATATCCTTAGTTTTATGTCTCTTGGGAAAGAACCTCAGTTTCTGTGTCTATCTGGACATCTTTACAAAGCTAAATCTGTGATACTTTGAAGTCAGAGCTTGATTTACATTTGTTCCATACAGTTTCAATGACAAAAACAAATTTTATTTTCTCTCCCCAATAGCCATATAATCTTATGCCTGACATGTTCAATTCCCTGCTATTGTACTTTGATTTTTTAAAAAATGTCATAAGGATTAAATTCAGTGAATCTATAATGCATTATAAAAGTACAGTTGACACAGTGTTTATAAATGCAATGATTATAGTGTTATTTCTTGCATATTTATACTTTTCAACATACATCAGATCTATCTAAAGATTAAATTGGTCTGTCAGAATAATTAATGACATAACTACCAGTCTTGATGCCCGGAGATTGAAATTGAGCATATCAACATGGCAAAAAAGCATAAATTCATTGACTAAGACATGGCACAATTATTAAATTAGCTTTCATAGACAAGAAACCGCTTATAAAATAATCATTATCATTTTAACACAAGAGGAAGGCAGTATACTATAACTTCATTATTAATGTGATCTGACTGACCAATTTACTGAACTCTTAGCTTGTCTTCCTCCCTCTTTACATCTGCGCACAATCCTCCTCTATAGAAATACTTCTTTAAAAAAAATCAGATTTCTACATCTGTGTTGTTCTGCTCTATGTCTCGGTTAGGAGAAGGCAAGTTTTCACAAACTCAGTTGAATAAATCTTTCTTTATCCTTATGCACCCAAGTACTATTGTGAGACTTTACAGTTGGACTCTGTAAAGTCTGCTTCCTCCAGGCTAACTCACCGTACAAAGTTGTGATCAACCCACTAACCTGCTAAACGGGTCAGTAGTGTCTAAAAAATACCATGAGAATACTCTAGAGAATCATTGTTCTAAGTCTTTGGTTACCTTGCCTCAACACAATGAGGTCTATGTGAATTCATAGATTGAGACATATGAACCAACTGCTTTATGAAGATAAACGTACTTCCTCTACAAATTGTAGCAGTTAATTGATCATTTAAGTTTAGTCGCTATGAACTGCAACAAATTCTGATTGGCTAAATGCCCAAGCTGACAAGGTAGTTCAGTAGTTTATCTAGTCAGTAATATACTGTATGTATTGAACTTCGTAACCAAAAAACATGACATTTGTGATAGGCCGACATTTTCATTGACTTTCATAATCAGAATAATATAATCGCACAGTTAATTCAGAAATCAATTTGTTTTCATCAGAGGCTGATTTTGCTTTAATTTTTGTAGTGGGAAACAAAACTGCGCCTTACCAATTGCAAGTTATATCAGAGATGAAAATACTGTACATTTATATTGCTTTACCACAAAACAGGCGGCACTGGAATTAATCTCTTCTGCTCATTTTTCATGAAAAAAATTTAAATATTAGTAAAAGTCAGGGTCTTCATAATCATTATATTTTAAACTAAAACTCTAAAACAATTAACATATTTAATTTAACAATGCTAGTAAAACCAATAAAATATGCAAGCTAAGCACTCCTGCACACTTATTTTAAATTGAGAGATAAACCAAATGGTGAAGGACATAATTCCAACCAATCTCCCTTTTCTATAAAAGGAACTCTAAGTTGCTTACTCACCATGATGTACGACTCCCTTCAATCCACTGATAATAGGAACCAGTGCGAGATTGTCCTGGTGGGTGACCTATGTGTAAAGGATATGCATTCTGTTAAATCCTTTCAGGCAATAGATAAAATGATCTTCAATTTTAATCTTTAAAGGAAAGATGCTATCTTGCAAGGAGCTCTGCTTTTGGAGCTATCCATGGAGATTACACTGAAGTAAATAAGATTAAAATATGAACAACTGACACCAAAGCTAACAAAAGATAATTACATTCTGGAGAGCCAACCACTTTTCTGAGAGATGCAACTTCACACACTGTGTCCCACCTCATACAAATTAAAGAGGGTATATTCAGAATAACTGAAGTACTAAAGAACTGCAGCTTCTTGCGACAATGCTCCTGCCTTTTTTTTAGATTACGTAAACATTTCTGTTGGCAGCCTCAAGAATCCCACAAATACCTATTACCAATGCCAAAAGACGTAAGACAGTAACAGTAAAACATAGATAGTTTTGTAACCCATATGGCATAAAAATATTATGTATTGAAAATTTTTGGAATGAGCATTTACAATCTGAACTCTCCAAAATAAATGTTTGATGACTCTTTGGTTTCCAAATACCCACAGAATAAAAGATCTGCACTGTTGCAGGACATGGACCAGTAATCCAGTACCACAGAATGCAAGCAGGAGACCCCCACAAAGAGTCAGAAGAGAATTTATTTGGTCACCTAAATGTTTCACAAATTACAATAAATGCACAATGTCAATTCATAGTCTATTGTTTGCTAAATAAAAATCTGGAAATTAGAGGTTAATGAGACTTGTATTCTTTGCCAGTTGTGTTGTTTACTGACGAAATATACAAATTGGTTTGTTCACTGCGACAATTAATGAATCTCAGAACACATAATTTTGAAACTTGTAATTTTCTTTGTGGCTGATAATCCACATTCAAATTGTCATGGTTTGTTCCATGCAATGTACATGGAAGAGGACAAGTTTACAGATGCTAACATCTCTGCCTCAACTTCTACCTCAAACATGAATAAATGAGTCACAAATTGAGTTCGAAGGCAACATGAGAAATCTCAGTGGTAAGACGTAGTTTGGAGTTTTTTTCTGATCATATGTAATCTGATGCATCACCATGACAACATGGTAATTTCAGTCTCATTTTACTGATATGCAGCACACAACATGCCAACTCATGGCTGTTTGTGGAGCTTAGCTGGCCTACAACAAATGCCTACCGCGTATGTCTCCAAAATCAGTTGCTACACTTGGAAATAATTACTATATATAAAAAAAATACTAATAATATTTCCTTGCATTTGATATAGTGCCTTATCACGTCATTGAGATGTCTTGAAGCGCTTCACAGAATATACTGTTAGGTGAATTGACTGCATATTTTAGTTGGTTACACTCCAGCTGTATCCCAACACACACTTCGGGGGTCCCTAAGCCTTGCTAACTTGCACCTAATACTTTCCAATAAACAGGTCTGGAATTTCCAGGTATAGGTGAGATGCATGGAATTTTTAGTTTGGTTTGGATAATCTTAAGGACAGTGATGGATTTCCTCACGGCAGGCAGTCAAAAAAATCTATCTAGATTGTAGCACTTCTAGGTCTTCACGCCGTTTTAGAAGAATCGAATAGAAATGCAGTATTCAAAATATTTCCCTTGATTTAAAATAATAACATATAATAATCTTTGCATTTGATATAGCGCCTTATCATGTCTTTGATACATCTCAAAGCGCTTCACAGAAATATATTTTAAAATAAATTGACTGTGTTTTCTGGGTGAAATGTGGCAGCCAATTGCACACAGCAGTGTCCCACTAACAATTATGGATTGAGTGACCAAATTATTATTATTTTTTGAAGGGATTATTACCCCTGGAAAAGCAATCCGCCAATCCACTAACAACCGGGTTCAGTACTTATGGTTCAGTAAACAGAGGTGTGTGAAGTAAGGAAACTTGTCTAACGTTTCACCCTGCCCGGGAATCAAACCCATGTCCTCTCGCTTGCAAGGTGAGCACACTAACCACTATGCCACAGGACTCGTACATTTGCTACGTGTCAGAAAAGATCCTCCTGCAAACTATTCAGGTTTTCTTCCCTTTCCAGCCACGCTGACCAGTTTGTCACGCCTTCCGACATGAAAGGCGCTCTATAAATTGAATCTTGTTGTTGTTGTTGTTATGATGATGAGAGGACTCATAGATACCGACGACAGTTCCATTCATTTCAAGTGGTGGATGGGGGAAAGAGTTGTGGCAATATGGATCGGAAAGAAGCAATAGAATTAAAACATGCCATTATATTAACTAAAAGGGCTTTCTTTGATCAAAGTAATCCCCTACAGCTTTCCTTCCCTTTTAACAAACACCTGGTAATGGGAACATCTGTTTAAAGGAAACACCTGTTTAAAGGGAAGAGTTGCTGAGCCAACACTTAATTTCCATGAACTCCTCAGTGTTTGATTACAGTAATTGCAACTGTTGCTTGAAGAGAACACTTTGGTTACAATATAGAGCATTTCCCATTCAGACTATTTTCTTTAAATAGGTGCAAATACGGTTCGCAAGGATTTCAATCTTCTAATACTAAATGTCAGTCGTATGAAATTGCAGCTCTTCCCTGCTCCCTCTAGCAAAGTATTTGAATACTTTTACACTGAAATCAATAATGTTTATTAGAGGTTTATCTGTTTATTCTTGAAGCAAAGCAAATATTGAATTCACAACACCTTTACATAAATCATTTGTTTTTATACATTCATTAAACCACCACTTTTGGCCTTTATTCTGTCATTCTGCCAAATATGTTACAATTTAACTTACCATAGTCACCCTTTGAAAATGTTCAGACTAAAATACTAATTGAAGGTGTCTACATTCATTAGTAGTACATATTCTGGGAGAATGGTGCTTTCAGTAATAGTAAAGCTCCATTCTGATGCTATCTCCCAAGCTACAATGTTCAGCAGTTCTCAGCTGGTCATCAACAGCTTTTGCAGAATAAAACACTTTCTCCAGGATGGGGGAGGGAAAGGAAAAAGTGCATGTTGTATGGTGGAAAAAACGAAAACCTGCCAGAAATCATCACAAAGTTACTTTGATTGGAAGCAGAATGGGAACCAATGTAACTTCTTGGCAGAACAACAGCATTGCAGTGATAAATTGGAGCTTTGCGAAAGGAAGAAAGTAGAAGGATGGGACTAGAGAATACTGATAAATATTTCACATTATAAAAAGTAATAAGTCACGGGCATACAACATCTGGCACAGTAGTAGAACTCTTGTCTCTAAGTCAGAAGGTTGCAGGCTCATGCCACTTCGTCGGGACTTAGAATCATATAGTTTAAGCTGACACTCCAATGCAGGGCTGGGTGGAGAGGGGTTGCAGTGGTGGAGGTGCTGTCCTTCGGATGAAACGTTAAATCGAGGCCCCGTCTGCCTGTTCAAGTAGATATTAAAGATCCCATAATAATAATAATAATCCTTGCATTTGATATAGCGCCTTATCATGTCTTTGAGACGTCTCAAAGCACTTCACAGAATATACTGTAAAGTGAATTGACTGTATATTTTGTGGGTGAAACACGGCAGCCAATTGCGCACAGCAGTGTCCCACAAACAGTGGATTGAAGTGACCAAATTTTTTTTTTTTTTAAATTCTTAAGGGATTATTATCAGGCATGTGGAATAAGGAAACTTACCCAAGATTTTGCCTTGCCGGGAATCAAACCCAGGTCTCTCACTTGCAAGGTGAGTGCTTTAACCACTGAGGTACAGGCACTATTCTAAAAGAGAAGGGAGTTTCTGTCTTCCAGTGCCCTGGCCAACAACCCCCAAATAAAAAAAATTGTCACTCACTCCACGGCTGTTTGTGTGACACTGTTGGGCGCAACTGGCTGCAGTGTTTCGCCCACAAATCTGGCAGTCAATCCACTTTACAGAATATCATGTGTAGCGTTTTGATATGTCTCAACTACGTGATAAGGCACTATATCAAATCCAAGGGTTATTATTATATATCTGATACAATCTAGCTCCAAGTCACTAATTTTGTCACTTGAGTAACATAAAAATGCCCTTTCTGTGTTTTTCAAACCTGTTGAAACCACTAAGCTACAGAACATGGAGTCCTGTAGCTTAGAGCAAGCGAGAGGACCTGGATTCGATTCCCGGGCAGGGCAAAACATTAGGCAAGTTTTCTTATTCCACACGCCTCTGTTTACCTAGCAGTAAGTAGGAACGCTTAGTTAGTCTATTGGCAGATCGGTTTTCCAGGGGTAATTATCCCTATAAATAATTAAAATTAATAATAATTTGGTCACTCAATCTACGACGATTTGTGGGACACTGCTGCGCGCAATTGGCAGCTGCATTTCACTCACAAAATATACAGTCAATTCACCTAATAGTATATTCTCTGAAGTGCTTTGAGACGTCTCGAAGACGTGATAAGGCGCGATATCAAATGCAAGGATTATTATTACGTTGAGTGACTTCTCAAATTGCAAGGTATTTTTGAAAACAAGCAGGTTTGAATATGAGCAGGAGTTCAGCAATATAAAACTGTTACTTCATTTAACTTAATAATGACACAGCTGACCTTATATCAACAGACTCTCTTTGGATGCCAAAACTGTCTCAAAAGAAATTGAGGCCAATATTGTGGATAAAAAGCAATTAGTTCAACATTTGAAGCACAAACATGATGCAAATTGTTTTCAGGTTGGCCCTTCTGAACGAACTAGGAGTCAGATGTACAAGATTTTTTCACACTGCCAATTTTTTTCTCTCACCCTCTATTGGTGACATTTAATTCCTTCTTTTCTTTCCCAGGATAGCCTATGACTTGGTAGACTCACTCAAGAGGCCATTATTCATTTGTGAGATTTGATTGTGCACTTGTGCCACACGCATCAAAGTTTGATCCTGTCCTTGTTTGATGCCCACAGATATGCTCTTTCTAATAGGTGCCTCCCTGAATAATGATCAGAAAAGGAATCCTAGCAGCAAAATTGGAGCACCCCAACTGATGTCAGCTGACA